GAATTTAGCTCTTAGACTTATGGAGACTTGAGGGAATTGAGAACTCGAGAGGTATACGAAGCATCCAAAGTCGCATGCATGGAATAGACAAAATAGAAGGCGAGATATAGGGAGGGAGGGAGGGAGAGAAAGACAGAGAGAGGAAGCAAGTTAGCTTACGTATATGTATATCTATAGGCAAAGGCGTCACTAGCCAGCGTTTAACTTTATGTTAGTTTTAACATTATATTAAGTCTAATGTCTAATAAATAAAACATATATATATCTGTATCCCGTTTGAACTATTATCATAATTTTTATCGATGTCTAAATTTATCCCTATCTTCCATCTATATGAGTTCTCCACTTAAGTCATTAAACTTAATTTCTCACAAGTTCTTCGAAATTGATATTTTATTCGATATTCAAAATTTCACGGTTTCTCCACCTCACGTCAAATGAAGCCCCTTCGAAGATTCCCAAATGTGACGCCAAAGACTAAGAGTTGAGATTATCATATCAGATAGAGCTCGAAATGAAATCGCCTCATATGCAAATATCGATACATTACCGATAACATATGTATATCAATTATTGATCTGTTTTCGCATCGATTTGCATTCATTTCGGGGCAAAAAGAAAGTGTTTCTTATTTCCCTATTAATTACTTTAGCAAATTAACAGATCTTCAAAGCGACACGGAGAAGACAACAAAACAACAACAGCAAATGCAACAATAACAACAACAACAATAACAACTCGATTCAGCTCAGCTCGACTTGTTACGCATCGCCTTTGATATGCGCCGAATCTGAAGTTTTGTTATTGTTTTCATCTTTTTATTTTTATTTTTTTCGTGTTCGTCTGTCGATAGATAATAAAGAAGGCAATTAAAACGCGCGGATCGATAAATTAACAATTATACAAAAGAAACACAACGAAACGAAACGGGACGGGATGAAACGAAACGACAGGGAACGTAGCGAAACGAGATTTCCAAGAAGTTGATTTGACTTGAGCTAAGCTTCTTGATTCGCTTGGAGATCTATGTAAAATTATGTAAAGTTCAAGGCGTCGACGACGTTGTGGGCAGCGATCGAATCATATGCTAAATTTGTTGAAGATGACTAACATGAGGAGAATTGGTAAAGAAGAAGAAGACGATGAAGAAACACACATTTTGAAAGGGCAATGTGAGAGAGGGAGAGAGAGAAAAAATAGCATAAAAGAGTTAAAGAAGCAGAGAAAGAGATGGGATTGAAAGAAAGAGAATGAAAGAGAGGGAGATAATAAGAAAGGGAGAGAGAAAGAGAGAGAGAGAGAGATAGCGGGAGAGAAGGATAGAGAGAACAAACATACGTATTTAGGATAATAGTATAAAAAGCAGGGATAGGTAGATATACAATAGAGTGATAGAAATGCTGAGAATAAGATGAGAAAGAGAAATAGAATTGGAAAGTGAAAATTAAAATGATAGAGAGAGAGAAAGAGAAACAGAAAGAGGGACAAGTAAACTGAAGTAGAGACAGAGAGACGAAAAGAGCGTAGGCAACAGTAGGAAACAAAAAGAGAAGAGAAGAGAAAGGCACAGAGGAAGTTCCATAAAAATAGGGAAAAGTAGAGGCAGTAGAGGAAAAGAGCGGGGAAAAGGGAAAGCAAAAATAAAGAATATATAATAGAAGTTGACAGAGAGAATAAGAGATGCAGAGAGAGAGAGAGAGAGAGGCAGCTTAGATGCGGAAACTTAGAGATATTAACAGAATAGCAGAGCGAGTGATCAGTCGAAAGACATGTAGAATAAGAAAATCCGAGCAAAGAGGTAGGGAGAGCATTAGTGAAAGACAGCTAGACACATAGATAGAAAGAAAGAGAGAGATAGATGCAGAGTTAGTCTGCATGTAAGCTAGAGATAATCAGCCAGAAGTTGAAAGACTTCCAGACTGATCAGAAATGTCGTGAGACTTCCAGTCGCCATCGTAATTGAGCGACTTTGCGATGTAACTTCGCTGGCTCGTGGGAAACATGTTGTTGCGATAGACGACCGACGAACAGAGACATTACAGCTGAGACAGGTGGGCCAGAGACAGTCCTTGAGCTCGGCCATAAATTAGCCTCAAGCAGCGGCAAACAATTCGAAAGATCTGTTTGATGAAGACGAACAGATTGTTGGGGCTGAGCTGAAGAATGGTTCCGACCGTAGCAATTTGTTGATGTTGATGTTTCTTTTTGGTTTTGCTTTTTCTTACGAGTTTCCCAATAACACGTTTCCATAGAGCTTAAAGATATGACAGATAATGGATAATGGATATACGCAGCGTGAGAGAGGGAAGGGGGACAGTTCGATTGAGATATTTAGTGAAGACATCAGTCCGCAACTGTCAGTGGGGCGTGTCGAATGAATTTGTTTAATCTTTAAGGTTTTTTTTGGGTTTTTTATGTCTAAATGAAGAAGAAGAGGTAGACGAGGTAGTGCTAGAAAAATGAAACCAAGGCAAAAGCCATCATTTGAAGAGCGTGAAGAACGACAGCGTCTGAGCACTCGGCTTAAAACGGTCTGATAAGCTGCTGAAAACGCTTAACGTTTTCATTAATTCTGAATGAAACTACGAAAAAAAAATAACACGATTTTGACCTACGATCAAAGCTCGATTCCGATTATAGATCTTTATATAGATTTGAATACCAAATGACATTCATTCAGCTCGTATTTTGAGCAATAACATTTATGATTCGCTTAATCAGATTGCGACGCATCCATTTCGATTTGTTCTAAGTAGAGATTTGATAATTTGTCTGGCTCTGAAATTTGGCAACATTGCATGGATTCCGGGGCACATCTTTACTGAGGATCGCAGGATCCGAAGGCAAATTCTGTTTGGGTTTTTGAAAAGAATTTGATATATTTACAAATATGATATATATACAAATATTGATAAATCTATATAATCTGTAAAAATTGGTATCAACGCCTTGCCATACAAATTTGGCAACAACGTCGTATCACGGTTCGAACCAAGAAAATTCGCAACATTACTTGAGAAATGCCAATGCATTCCTCTGAAAACAAACAACAGCGCACTCTGACCCCAAGTGGAATGGCAGGGCACTGTGAAAGCCGGCAACAGCGCCCTCTGCACAGTGATATGTGACAAATCAAGGAAAATAAACGACGAATATTAAATATGTATGTGTTTATGGGTTTCATAATAGTAAAAATTATGCTAGACTTGATTAAAAATAGAAAAACACGCCAAAAGAAGAAGAAGTAGAAGAAGAATTCGAAGAAGAAGAAGTAAGAGAATGGAACCAACAGTTCAGCAGAGATCTGCATCGGAAATGAGGCGCAGGTTGATAAATGTGATAAATGTGACAAGAGGCCGAAAAAACGGAACGACTAATTGAGCGAAGGTTAAGCAAAGGCGAGGATGTATTAGCATAAAACAACAAACTGAGCTGAGGAAAGGCGAAGATCAATGAGAGAGAAGGGAAGCAGGAGAAGGGAGTACCACACACTGCTCCATTTGTCAAGATTGGCGTTGACGTTGGCGTTCCCTTTGTGGGGCACATTAGGGTGGGAATGGATGGGCCCGAGGTGTCGCGTGTAGGACTTCAGTCAGTGCAGAATCCATTCTTCCAAAACGCCTAAACTGGTCTTCCAAATGGACTCCCAAATCGAACGAATGATGCGCATATATTAGCGCATGATTTCCAATAAAAACTGAAAGAAAAAAAAAAACAACATTAATATTGTACGCTTTATAAAAAAAAACTGAATGTTAGGCATAGATATACAAATATATATACCTATATATACGTATGTATGTATATCTATATTTGTATATATGTAGATATTCAATAAAAATCATTAAACTTAAACGCGTATGCTAATTCGCTGATGGCGGTTTTCTAATTTGTTGTCATCCAAATACACTCGCACACTCGCACACACACACATACACCTGCAAACAGTAACGCTCATCTATATGTATATATGTTACAAAACTCGATTTTTTAATGGCCCTTCAATGCGTCAAAGTCTGACCAAATACAGTTACATCTATCGCAGCGAATCTCTTTTGGAGTTAGACTGTGGCTGCCCCAACAACCCAACAACCTAGCAACCCAATGGCAAATTCAAAACAACCAGATAGTGCGTGTGGCAAAAGTGACTGATGGACTGCGCAGATACCCTGTAAAATATATATACAGCTGAGCAAAATATTCATAAATGTATGTACTTATAATCCTCTGTGTACTTATATATGTATATAGTTACATAACCTCTATATCCACTAATCCATTAATTTAATCTAATATCTAGTTAGTCTCTAACATTTCTTGTCAGTATTTGAGCAGATATCATAAGAAGCTGAGTTACTATGGATATCAGTTTTTTTTTTATATAACATTCAAGTAAAATACAACAAATTGCTAGGAAAACTTAATTCATTTTAGCTCTGTGTATCGTAGAATAGCTCGTATACTAAATCTGCTTAATTTAGCATCGCTAGCTACTGAGTTTCTGTAGGTAGTTAGACAATTCATAGCATATATGGAAAGTAATTTTGAAGCGATTGCAAAACATGAATAGAAATATGCTGTATATGATCTGAGGCTGCCATCTATACATTTTCAGCGCCCTAGCTTTATTAGAAGCTGAGTTCTTATAGGCTATTTAACCAAAAATCACAAATTGAAAAGTATTTTTCAAGATTTCATGATATATAAAATGTGTTAGAGTATTATAGCATATATAATACATATGAATGCATGATACCATATTTGTTACATTTACAGGGTATTGCCGCACGCAACGCGTTGACAACTGACGACGTTCTCGCCATGTCCGCATCGGATTGGGCGCTGCGGTTCGTTGTCCGGTTCGGTTGGGTCTTCTTTTTTTTCTTCTTTTTTTCGTCTTCTTATTCATTTTGCTTTTTGCGAGCTGCGACGCCGACGGCGCTTAGCTGTGGCTCTAGCAAAAGACCATATATAAGGAAACAAGAAGTGGAAGCGTTTGTATTTATTTGTTAGAACCTGTGCGCAACGCACCTCTCGCTGCGAGCCTCACAGTCTTTAATTTGCAGCTCGACTTGGGATACCCTCAAAACAAAAAACAAAAACACACACACAAAATAAAATATGAAGAGTTTTGTAAGTTTAAAAAAAATATTATAAACATGTTAAAAATATAGCTAAACTTTTATATTTTTATAAGTGTTTAAAGTGACAAATGAAAAAACTACAAAATTAAATACAAATAAAAACTCTGGTGAAATTTTTTTTAATGTGTTTACAAAGGAATACAAAACATTAAAGTGCTGCAATTCGTTTTAAACTATTTTTTTCGCTAAGAAATTTCTAAAGAAAAAAAAGCTTAATATAAAACTCTAAAAACTGGGCCCAAAACCAGCCAAAGTCCTTTAAAAAAGCTACATTTTTTAGATACAAAAATTTATTTATAAAGCAACCACGCTTTAGTTGTATGATCCTTAAAAAAATCGCAGTTTTTTTTTTGTTCAGCTTTTTTTTTTCAAATGTTCTTTCCACTTTTATTTTGGCCGGCATGCTAATTGACATGTTCAGCCAGTTAATAGCGCTTCCTAAAAAATTCCAGTTGTACGAGCTCTCCAATCTGCGATCTAAACTTTGGCCTTATTTGTTGCTTTGTTATTTGCTTTGTATGCGTTCACTTTGCTAATTGATTTCATTCAAAGTGTTTCGTGTGTGGGACACGCGCAAGCAATATGAGCGTTCATTTCTAATTGCAGGCGCTTGCTTACGCTCTCTCACACACTTATACAGACGCACGTATGTCCATCGCGGATTCTAGGCGGTTGCCTGCACACTCACAAGCAAGTGCAAGTAGAGAGCGACGAAGCGCTTATCTTCGCCCTCACACACACACACTCACACACACGAAAACGAAGAGCGTCCTGGCTTTTGCCTGCTTATTCACACACGCACAAGCTCAATTTGTCTGAATAGAAAACAGTAAATCGTGTCGCAAGCGAAGCAGAGACAAAGCAATGCGCCGCAAATATTGGAATCGATTTAAGCTCAAGACAAATAAATCAAAACGCATTTGAAACAAAACCAACAGCAACAATAATAACGAGAATGACAGCTACAACAACAACAGCAAAACGCGCGAGACACAGTGACGGCATGCCAAGGCAAGCGGTTAAAGACGCCAGCAAAACGCCAGCAAAACGCGCGCGCACGCTAGCAATTTGATTAATTGCTGCGAATTTAAACGCTTGTTGATCGTTTTTTCGCTCATCTTTACTGAATTAAAATTTGAAATGCATAAAACAAGTTGTGTGACACTTGTCACAGACCACGAGCCACTTTGCCTGTGATTTATGCAGCGCTCGTTAAAATAATATTAAGAAGAAACAAAAACACGGCACAGTTTTTTTTATACATATTCCGTTTTGTATCTATTTTTATTAGTGTTTTATCTGATTCGCTCTTAAGTAACAGAACGCACAAAACGTAAAATACACAAATCAAGCTATCAACTAATCGTATAAACTAACCATTCCCCCTCCTCCTCATCCTCTCTCCCACTCTCTCTCTCTCTCTCTCTCTCATTTTGGCTAGCAGCTGGTTTTGTGCTTTGTGGCGTTGGCCTTAGCCGACGTGAAACACCTGACAGATCGCAATCTGGATCTGTTCAAGTATAATCCGGGCGATATCTACACCCTGCCCGAGGACATCGATGACGATAAGCCCGCCGTGCACTTCATCGGCGACGTGATGAAGGCCAAAACCGAGAAGCTGCAGAACTTCAATGCGGGCAAAAAATTCAAACTCGAGTAAGTCGATACATTTAGATCGGCAACGATCGATAACGATCGATTGTCAGTGAAAAACAAGCTAAGTTAGCTTTAAATTAGCTACATTTCATGTTATTTATATTTAACACACTCGGCGTGTGATCGATACAAAAATTTATTATTATTGCGCTTTTATTGGGGCTATTCCCACAATCGATAACAATCAATAGCTGATATATTGGGAAATCGTATGATGCCAGTGCGAAGTTTAAAAAAAATTGCTATAAATTTCCACATTATTTTTAAATTGATATTAGGGTAGTTCCAAAGGTACTCCAATTAATAAATAGTAAGAGAATTCCATTTGAATGGAGTGCTATAAGAGTTTTTTGTAGCCAGTCTGAAATCCAACAATGGATTTAAATTTAGTATAAATCCGCTTCGATAACGATTTCAAATATATATTTTTGGAATAGCAATATATAGTCGTTGAAAGATTTCTAGTTTGATTTCATAATCAATCATTTCAAATACCTTTTCAATTGCTCGACTTTGACGCTCTATCGATAACTAATCGATTATTTCATGCAGATTGAAGACACAGAACGGCATTGAGGTCAGCAGCGTGGGCAAACTGAAGGACGACAAGACCTTCGTGGTAAGCGGCTCGTACTCGTTCACCGGTGCCGACGGCAAGCGCTACAAGACCCGTTATACGGCCGATGAGTTCGGCTACCATCCAATCACCGAGCTGGATCTGGACCTGCCCGAGTAAGTAGAGCGAGAGACTTGATCGAAAGAGCTGCTCAGATCTACAATGCCATCAACCCTATGCAGTCCACAGCCCTTGGCTCCAGCTGCCCCGAAGCCAGCCTCCGACCTGAGCAGCCTGCTGGGCAACAAGAATCGCTTCCAGTTCCTGCAACAGAATCTGAACAACGAGCAGGGACCCCTGCGCGGCAGCGGCCAGAGCGGCGACGACTACAGCTACAGGGCACCCGGCAACCGCAACGACAATGTCTACGGCAACTCACCTGACTACGGCAACCTCGGCAATCCCTTCGGCCCCGCCAATGGCATTGGCTACGAGTACCTGCCGCCCGCAGAGCCGTCGCGTCTCTACCTGCCCACGGCATAAGCAGGAGGCTGATCCCAGTACACACATATCCCCTCCCTCGACCCTAAGCCCAAGTATTTAGTTTTAAGCGCAGAATTCCCCGCAATCAACAATTTACAAATAGCAAAATTATATATAGATCTATATATACGCTATATATACATATATATATATATACGTTAAATATATATGTATATCAATTTTTTTTGTATCATCTTTTAGTGTTATATGTATACAATATATCCTTTGCGATCCCAATTTCCCTGATCCTGCCTCCCCCCGCCACACAAACCAATCCCCCGTAATCAAAAGAAAATATTAGACGATGCGATGTGAACATGACAATGAATCTATATATGAATATATATATATGTATATACACTGAGTGATATTAGTAGTAAATAAAATGGCTAAACTAAAACTATTGATGCGACGATTTATTCTTGAAAATGGGGTGAATGGAGCCAGGGTGCAGAAGAAACCAATTGGATGGATTTATAATGACAACCGAATCTAATTCTGATAAATTGCCTACCCTAGCTTTACAATCTACTTGAAATGTTGCTGGTAGCTGAGTTACATTTCCATATCCCTTGTAGCTCTATTTCTAGACCAAACTGAAGTGTATTCTAGGCTCTAGAAAATATGGATGAGATAGTCTTGTGCCTATTTAAAGTTCTTATGTTGTTCAGAAAGACCTATATTGGATTTCTCAAACCATTATAAGCCTTGTCAGTATGCAATGAATATTATTAAGTAGCAATTTACTCTCTCTCAAAAAGACGTATACAACCTAATTTTTGGCTTAGATGAAAGCTTGAAGAAATTAGAAAGAGCTTACGTTGAGTTATCTTGGTTTACAAGCTGCTTGTAAAAGTCACTTAACATTAGGTAAATAAATAAATAAGGATTTCTACGCTATTATTCATATATGTATTAACATTTTTGAAATCAGTCAATAATTTACAAGCTGCTTGAAAAGTGTATGGTAAGTATGCAATGAATGTTACATGTTTAGGCAGTCGCCTACAAACAGACTTGCGTTTTATTATAATTTTCGGTTGTTTCTTAGTTCCATGGAGAAAATAAACTTGTTTACAAACCTAAATCAAATATTTAGGAGCTTAAAATTATATATGTTTTATGCTTTTCGATCTGTGTATTCTCTTTCATATGAATTCAATATTCAGTAGAATCGGATTATAACGATTACGCTTATAGCGTCTGTACAGTTATAATGACGAGAATTCCGGTCTCCGGACAAACTTTTATGAGCAAACTTATACGGTTATAGTGCCCTCCGGGTATAACGACGGTCCCTTGGCTGTCATTAGAATCAGATTCTACTGTATTATAAACCTTATTTTTTACATCAAATTTTAATCAATTTTAGAATCGAACTGCTTTATTCAGTACACGGATTTTACATCGAGGTTGTCTCGCATACGTTCAATTGGCTGTGTAAATGAGGGAGTACTCCTCTCGCTTTCGTATTTGTTGAAATACCCTACTCTATATATACATCTATATAGAAAACATATATTATAATATATCTTAGATCTTATTTCTGTACTAATCGAATCTAAATAATTATGGATGAGATCTGCGTAGACTATACGGTTTACTTTAAGGCTAAGATGTACCTCTCTCTGTATATAGATATACGACTCAAACTATGCTATACATACGACTTATAGAATTGGAATTCTATTTACAATTGAGTTACGTTTCATATAGAGATTTTGGACTAGATTGATCCTATATAGGAGATTCTGGCAAGTTTGCTTTCTAGCTCTCCTCGCTTGATTTGCCCAAGAGCGCCGCGATGCGGTCCCTGGCCTCGACGTAGGCAGCCATCACCTCCTGCAGCGTGGTCGAGATGGTCGCCTTGGGCTCGTGGCTAAACTGGCCGTCATCGTCGTCGTCGTCGCTGTGCTCCCGGATCAGGTGGTAGCCGTAGGGCTGGTGGCGCTGCTGCACCTTCTGCATGCTGAAGATCAGGGTTCCCGTGCTGCGCATCACGTGCTCTCGCTCCAGCTCCATGCGGCTGTGCAGCGCATTCCCGCAGGATCGGCTCTTGAAGTAGCCGACGAAGTCGAACAGCGAGCGGCCGCCGATGAAGTAGCGATTGAGGGCATCCAGCCAGGTGCCCATGGGCCGGATGCACTGCAGCCGCAGCCCGGTCACGACGCTTGCGGGCAGCGGCGCCAGCAGCGAGCACGCGAAGTGGGCGTAGCCCTCGCAGCGTTCACGCTGCCACCTGTCGATGCTGATCACCTCGAAGTAGATGTGCAGCAGCTGGTCCGGCTGATACGACTCCTCGCAGAGCAGCGTCAGCTGCCAGCAGTGCGAGAACAGAGCCACGCGGTCAGCTCCGCCCCCCACACAGGTGGATGTGGCGCCGCGCAGCGGGAATGGATCGCGCGGATTTCCTGGCTCCAGTATTGTGTGCGCCGGCGGATTGACATAGTAGCGCACATGGATGTTGGGGTACTCGAAGTGCTGCGCCTCGTGCAGCTGCAGCAGGAAGACGACGCGCCGCATGCGCTTGGGCGGCTGCTGGAACTGCAGCAGGCGCCGCTGAACCGATCCACTGCAGCGCTGCTGCTGATAGTAGTTGACCAGCTGCTCGGCGCTGGTCTCAGAGCCGGGCAGCGAGTCCAGGACGAGCGGCAGGTCCAGTATTTCCGGGTCGAGGTTCAGCTGCAGCGGGCCTATGGGCCCGATATACGCTTGCATCTGCTCCAGCTGCTGGTCGAGCACGTTCACCACGGTTACGTTCTCAAAGCCATACGCATAGAGCTGCCGGCAGTCGTTGTTAATCTGCACCACGTACTCCATGTCCTCCACGCTCAGACTGAAGTCGGGATACACATAGAGCAGCTCCATGGTCGGGTCGTAGCGCAGCGAGAGCAACAACGTATCCTCCTGCAACTGGGCATAGACGTACATCAGCTGGCAGCCCTGCTGCAGAAGCTCGTGCGCCTCGTCTGGCAGCCGGGGGTCGCCGGGCGCGAGCTCGCGCAGATCCGCATCGATGAGCGTATGGATGAGGCAGGTGCGCGTGGCAAAGTCCGGGTCCTCGGGCAGCGGCGGCAGCTCATCCAGACTGAGATCGGAGAGCGGCGATGACTTTGACCTGGACGATCTCGAGGATTTGTTATGACGGCGACGTCGCACGCGCTGTCTGTACTCCACGTACTGCAGCCGCTCCTGATGGCGCTGCTGCAGCTCCACAATCCCGCGCGTCCAGCGCTGGTAGCGACGCTGCAGCGAAGTCTGGCAGCTCTTCGGGTCGCTATAGCGCTCCACCTCCTCGCGACTGAAGCACTTTTGCTGCCAGCTAATGCAAACATTGGCCGTTGCCCCACTGCACAGTTCTGGATTCTGAATTTGAAATTCTGTATCGTCGGACGGCAGCTCCTGCTGCTGGTAAGTGATGAAGTCCGACTGACTGTTGCTGAACAAGCTGCTGGGGTAGCTGCTGGGGTAACTGCTAGGGTAGCTGCTGAGGGAAGTGCTGGGGTAGCTGCGCAGGCTACGTAGGCTGTGTAGGCTGCTGTTGCTGCGGCTTGTACGACTGGTGGGACGACTGCTGCGGCTGGTGGTGCGAATACTACTGCTTGGATAATCGCTGCCCGGATTATAGTAGTTGTAGTAGGTGTAATAGTTATTGCCATACTGATCCTCGTACGGCACAAAGATGAAACAGTCCGACCAGCCGCTGCTGCTCGCAGTCTCTGGATAGTGGTCAGCGTACTCAATTTTCGCGCCCGTATATTCAAATTTTGGCACGGGCAGCCATTCGCTCACGTGCCGTAACTTCAGCTCCAGCTGGAAATCGTTGATGTCGCCCTTGACACGATAAATGCCTGTGCGCTTCGGTGCACTATTTTTGTACATTTTGTTAGTTTAGACAACTTGACTTGTGATTGCTTTTCATTATTGTTTGCAACTGAATATTTTCATTTTAGTCGTTATGACAACGATAGCAATGTCACACTTATCGATAGTGCTTTTCATTAAATACTGAGGATTTGGCGTGTATTTGGTATTTTCATAGATGGCAACGCTGCGCGCGCACGCCTAAATTTAAATATTTGTTGTTTAATGTTTATTAGAGGTATGGTATCAAATTCATCCATTAATATTCTAAAAATGATTTTGTTTGTGATTAATTGTATTTTTAAAGTCAATCGCAACCTTTATTTTAGGAGCTATCACAGCAGAACTGTTAATTGTACACTTAAAATAATACTAGACTTATTGTATATAATTGGCATTTCCTTACGCTGAAATGCTGCGCACATAATGAAATATGTTAAATTTAACTTAAATACATTAGCGGCTACTGTATTTTAGCATTCACTTAATTTAATTAAATATAATACAAATACATATTGCATCGCTTGTTATGTACCAAATAATACCAAGACTGCGGCAGTCTATGGCGTTGCCAGTTAGATTCAAAGTGAGGGCGCGCGCGTTCTCCGCTATTCAACTCAAAAACGGTGTGTATGTGTGAGCGCGCGCAAGTGTATGTGCGTGAGCGTGTGAGTTTGAGCTTTTCCACTGCGCTTGCCTGCAGTGTTTATCGACAGTTGCTTTCGGTGCCGTCAGTTGTTATTTTGTAGCGCTGCGTGCTGGTCGTACCCAACGCGTTTTTCACCTCTAGCCACGCACTTCAATTTGTTTGTTAACACATTTTTCGTTACTTTGCGGTTCGTCACTTTTGTTGTGCTTGATTTTTCAGACTTTTTTTTTTTGTTGTTTTCTTGTCACTTGTGGCGTCTTGTGTTGCGCGCGCGCATTGAACAAAAAAAGAAAAAACAAATCAACAACTGCAACGGCTTAAAAATAACAATTGTCATAATTGCATTATTATTATTATTCTGCTTTTATTGGTAGTGAAAGTGTTTAATTTTGCCTATTTTTTTTTTCTCTTTTGTTTAGTGTTTTCTAATTGTCATAAAATACGATTTTTGCAGCGAAAACCGAATAAAAAAAATACACAAAATGCAGCAAAAAGCCGATGAGGTGAGTAGCAAAATAGGAAATAGAACAAAATAATAGCATAAAACGATCGCAGCATGTTGCGACGGCGACTGCTGCTGTTGTCCTCTGCAACATCCTGCCCAACTTTGTTGCAGAACTTTAATTCTTTCGTTTTTGTCTTTCGCTATGCGTTGAACTCTCTTTGCTCTCCTTTACTATGCCTGTTGCTATTGTTGTTGCTGCTGCTAGTGCTGGTGGTGCTAGTGGTGCTGGTGTGGTGTTCTTGTGCCGTGACGTTCCATTCACTGATTCTGGAATATCATCGCAGCAGCAGCGGCAGCGGCAGAGGCAGCAGCAACAAACGGCCTCATTGTTTTTTCGTTTGGCTTTTCATTTAAATTTTGTTTGTTTTGGTTGTGTTATTTTTCATCTTCTCTATTGTTAGCTATGCTTTTTCATTTGTTGTCCTCGCACTATTTGCACAGTTGTTTGCCACTTTGTTTTTTCTTCTATTTTTTTGGACTCTCTTCTGCTGTTCTGTTTAATTGCGGCAACAATTTGCTTTGCGTCTTGTTGCTGGCTTTCCATGAAACATGGCATGGCATTGTTTATAAGCATTTTTCGTAGCTTCTTTCGTCTGCTTTTGTTTGTGTGCGGCTGCAAAAGTCAAAGTCATGGCAACATTTCGCCGCTTGTAGTGAAATTTCTTTTCACGAAAACTTCTATTGTTTGTTGCTGTTTCTGCTGCTGCTGGTGTTGTTATTGTTGTTGCTGGCATATGCCAGAGATGAGCATATTAAGATCTCCATAGCCAAATGTGTCTAGTTCGATAAACAAACCAAGAAGCGACCCAAATGTGACAAGCGGCAACCACAGCCAACAGCCACAATAAATCAACAGCTGTTTTTACAACTCATTTAACGCGCAGACCAAAGTCAACAACAACAACAACAGCAACAACAACAACGCGAGCCGCAACATAAATTGCCTGCGCCTGCAACAAATTTTGTTGCCAAGATCGAGACGGAACCAAAAACACAACCAAATGTTGCATTTAGCCTTGCTGTAGTTGCAAGTAAAAGTCGAAAAACCTGTAAGGCGAATGAAGCGGGAAGCAGTGCAGAGGGAACAAGTGGAAGAGATAGAGAGAGGGAGAGGGGATCGCTGCTATTGACAGAAGATGACTGTCCGTGACCCAAATAAACGAAGCTAAACGAAAAAGCCAACAAGAATTACAAGAGCAAGAGAGAGAGAGAGAGAGAGAGAGAGGGAGAGAGAGAGTGAGGGAAGGGGAGATTGAGACAGGGCGAGAGACATCATTTGAGTCAAATTGTCACGAGTCACAATATGAGGCTAAGTGCCATATTAGGCGCACTCGGACAAATTATGGAACCGAGCTGACAGGGCTGCCAGATTGGGCTGAAAGAATTTGAAATTAACAGAGAAGTGAAGGACTAAAGGTAGAGCATGGAAAGGTGAAGAATTAGCAGAAAAATCAAACAAAATGAAAATCTTAAAACATAAATAATTAACCCTAAAATCGATAGAATCTTAAAGATTCTGTGCATATGTACATATATTTATATGATGCATCATATAAGTCGCAGAGCTCTATTCTCTTGAAGTGAAATAGACTTGGTATTCAAAGAAATATATTGAATAGTTAAGTCTCAAGCTAAACTAAAGCATTAAGGTCCGATTGGGTTTGTTCTGCTCTGGAACATTTAAAGCAACTATATGTAATCAGATATATTGCCAAAGAATATTTACGCTGTTCTAGTCTTCAGTTCTACAATCTTATCTGAATTATTGGCCTCAAGTATTACTTCATATTGCGTTTCTCAGTCACCCGTTTAAGGAACTAATTCCATACGCATTTTGCATTTCATCAAAAACCTGTTTAGAATTTGTTTTAATCTCATTATTTTTTATACGTTTTTTTATTGTTAAAAATTTCGCTTTCAGACGGCGACAAATTTAGTTTTTTCTCTTATTTCTTGTTGGAGCCAAAGTCAAAGTGAATTTTCTTGTTTTTTGTGGCGGTTTTCGCTGGCAAATTGAAAGTAAAAATGGCCAAAAAAATAACGAAAAACCAAAAACCGGTCAAGCAGTGGGATGCTGGATGCAGTTGGCTTAATGCGGATACTGTATGCAGATGCAAAGCTCAATCTCCTAAGCTTCGATGAGCGAACATTAAAGTAATTATAGAAATACACAAAAACATTTCAAATTGAATATTAAAGAAGAAGACAAATAAATAAAGAAATGCAAAATCATTATAAAGACAATAACTTGGGCTGAAGGAGGAGGGAGGGCTGCAGGCGAGATATACTCTTTAGGCTACCCAGACCTCTACACACACACACACACACACTACGCTATGTGAAGATGGCAGCGGTTGTAATCAAAGCCAAAGCCAAAGTTAAAGTCCAAATCCAAATCGTGCCCAAAGCACAAAAAAAAAAAAACAACTAAGAGCCAAAGGCGTAACAGAGCAAAGAACGCGGCTGTAATTACGTCTAGAGTAGGTAGCCAAACGAGGGTCCCAGAGCGAGAGGGAGGGTGAGGGAGAGGCAGAGGGGGTTCGAGAAGGGGGAGTCAATAACAAACCGAGGCAAATGAAAATTGCAAACAAACAAACAAATATGCGCCAAAGACGAAACTTGTCGCTGGCGATCGTCGAGCTGCGTTGACTATGGCGAAAGGTAGAGAGAAGCGAGCGGTGGCATGGAGAGCGAGACGGGTGTACATATGTATATAATGAGGACCAGCTGGTAGAAGGTGGAGGTCAATGCCTGGGTACAATGACACTTGACCCCAAGACATTAGAGACATTAGAGATGCGTGCACAGCCTAAGTGAGTGAGGTGGAGGAGAAGAGAGAGAGGAAGTGGAGGGAGAGAGAGAAAGAAAAAGCGTGAAGTAGAGAGAAAGAGACAGAGATTCATACAGATTCATACAGAGAGTGTATCATAGAGAAGCATAGGGACAGAGAGATTGAGAGGGAGAGCGACAAGGAGAGAGAACAAGATTCAAAGGGACAGGAAGAAAGGGAGATAGACTGAGAGAGACGCGAGAGAAAGACAAAGACAGAGATAGATGATATTAATGTAATAGATCCAAGTAAAGTACTGAAATTAGATAAACTGTTATGTATAGATATATGTATAGCTAGAGCTATGCATCCATCCATCCATCTATATGTATAGCTATGTATAAATCGGCAATCAATTAAGGTTTCGCTATGCTGTGTATTTCCGATTTGATGAACTGTTGTTCCTCCGGTAACTTTTTCCGAAAACCATTCAGAAATGGAACTATTCGTTTTGGCTTTGACCAGAGACAATGGAGCTATTAAGATGTTCAAGATTTATATGCATCATAAATTTCACTCTGCAAGAAAGAAGAAGAAGAAGAAGAAAAAACCTAAATCAAATCAAAGTTTTGCTCGGTTCTGACAATGAAATCATTTTCGTAACATCACAGAGAGCGGTAAAAAGAAAAGATGAATGATATAAAAGAGACGAGAGAGATTATGAAACGACAACAACAACAGCAACATCTGCATATTATAATAGCCATAGTCAAAATACATATAAACGCATTATCATAGTCATAATAATCATAATAATAAAGATATCATCGATGTTTTGAAAAAGTGAATGTTTCAATGAGCCTAGTGTTGGTAAATGTTATGCAGCTCACTTACCGTTAGACTCCAATCTCACATTAACAAGAAATGCCCCAAATAACAATGACCATTGGGAGTGCAATGGAAAATGAAAAAGCAGGGATATGAGCTATGAATAGATGGAATATATATAAACTCTGTATCAGAGATAAAGAGATCATATATGTGCATGTGTTATCGATAACATATTTTACTTAAGAGAGCGTAGCCTTTCGTTTCTAGATATTGTGTATGATGCTTCTCTCTATTCAAATTTCTCTTCAGCCATCGATAAGATTTTCGATTGAAATCGATGACAATTTTCATAGTTTGCCGAAATATTCCCAGCGATATTTCCATTCGCAATGAGATCGATAACATATTCGAGTTGCTTGAGCCTAGTTCGATCAGCTAGTTATAGATCAATCGATTCTATTGACTGCTTCTCAACAAACAGGGTGTCTGCTAGTCGTACACATTTTCTGTCCATTTGCTCTTCAGTGCAGCCGCGCTTTAAAATTAATATGTCATTTACCGTTACCCACTGACTTAATAGTTTAGCTAGACATAATACACACAATTTGATAAGACTCCAATCAAGCGATCCAATGACCATGTCAACTCGAAGTGAAAGACTGGATGCGATGCGATTATTTCATAGAGCAATATGTATCAAGATATTTGTAGACATGTATATATCTCTCTCTCCCTCGCTCTCTCTCTCTCTCTCTCTCTCTTTCTCTATATCTAGCTCGAAACATAATGTCTTATAAATCGATTGCAATTAGTAAATGATTTTGATTTGTTCAATCTCTCTCTTTCCCTCTATCTTCATGCTATAATTTTTTATCGTTTTATTTTTTATTGATTCACAAATTGTAGCTTTTTTTCGGAATTGACGCAAACGCTCTAGCTCCTGCTGTAAGGGGAGCAGAAGAGAGTGGGGGAGCTAGTCTAAGCATTCGGTATTGATAAATTATTTGTTTTAGTGCTTTTCAAGTGATATATGTTAACAGCTCTTTGTTGTCTTTGAATTTAGTTGCAAGCTGAAAATATTTCTACACATACCCTGCGACGACTCTGTTTTTATAGCTGCAAGCTGAAGGTATTTTTATTATATACCCTGTGATGGCTCTGTTTTTATAGCTGCAAGCTGACGGTATTTCTAGCACATACCCTGTGAGGTCTCTGTTTTTATAGCCTTCTATTTGTATAGTCGATTGAAACACAACGAAGTAAAGCTCTGTAATTTGTATTGTATTCCTTGTGTCTAGAAATATACTGTGTATTCTCTATAAGCCTGGTATCACTGGGTCAGTCATCTAAAATTTCTTGACTTTTTTAATTCTACCTTTTTTTGTTGTTCGTTCTCT